ACCTTAGTCGTTACGACTGATCCTGTGTGAAGATGAAGGAATACTCATATTCGTCCCAGGGCATGCAGCACGGCCTTAATAAGCTGATGTCCCTACTGGGCCATGAGGGCGTGTAGCACCTCGTTGCCCAAGGGCCTGAAGCCATAAGCGAGCGCCTAGAGGCATTTTCAGACTATGAAAATGATCTGCAAGAGCACATACTCAGCGTTGACTGCATCGAAAACGCCACCGTCAACGACGGATGATTCCATCCGACCCAGCGTTAAGACCTTTAAGTGTAAGAATGGAGAATATCTTCTCCTCTGGGTGAGAGAGGCCAAGATGGCTATGGCATCCGCCATGCACCAGACCAAGCAAACAGCGCGTGTCGCTAGCTTTCTCCAAGCTTGGGTGCCGAGCGCGAGAATGGGCAATAACGTGCGGCGCTTCGTTGAAGTTGCGTCTCCCTCCTGAACGAAGCTGAGTCTGCAGCTATTACAAGCGTCTTCGCCGCCTATCCAGGAATATCCCGCGCGATCGCGAAATTTTTCCGCCCGACAGGACAGGACGGAATCTGAGAGCTCTTATTGCCGGGATGGCAGCAGATCCTTTACCCGAGGCGGTCGCAGTGACCGTCTTTATGAAGGGCCAGCACTGGCGTGGTCAGAATAAAAGTCTTCCGTGTACATCCGTCTTCTATTGAAAAAGCTGTAAACGTGGCATTGAATGCTGAACTCTTCTTCAAGTCGGCACGACTTGGTTGGAATGCACACCCTAGCAGCTCGTCGAGCGGGTCTGAGCCAATGGATCATAGCTTTGCTGAGAAAAAAAGGGAGAGCTCCGAGCTGCTAGGCAGCGTGGACGGTGTTTTGTCTGTGGAGACACCCGTCACCTTTGTATGGGTTGTTCCTTGCGTAAGGCGCGTAGTGGTTCGTCGAACAGACGTCCCGCTTGTAACCAGTCCGGGTTGACGCAGGGTGTCCTACTGGAAATAGCTGAGTTCTGTTGAGCCTCAAAGAGGTAGAGAGCAGCAGGGCCCAGCCGTGAAGAGCTGCGTGTTCTTGCACACAACGTGTGTGCAAGCCGGGCTTGCTGGTCGTAAAAGCAACCATGAATGACTTTGATAAGCCATGGAAGATCCTTATCGATTCTGGTGCGTCGGGCAATTACGCTCGACGCTCCACGATCGAAGGAAGTCAGCTGTATGCTGAGGCGCTGGAAGCGTTGTTGAGTGACTCCGTCACTGTTCTCTTAGCGACGGAGACTTGTGTCACTGTACCGCGGGTTCCTGTGGACATCGATGTCAAGTTTCTTGAGTTTGATAGCGTGGAACGCTGCTTAGTCTAAGCCTTGGATGCAAGGTATGACCTTATGCTTGGTATGGCATGGTTGGAATACCATGAGCCATGGATTGATTGGCGGTCGAAGACCTTGGGCGTTACGCGCACGTCTCCTAGTGGAGCTTTGGTGAGTCATGAACCTGCCTCTGCTAACTAATGGTGCCGGTACCGGACCGGGACGATCAATGTGTAAGAGATGCGTAGTCCTATCAAAGATGTTGTGTAAACCACATATTTATGTGTGTGGTTAACATTAACTACGTATCTTCCATAGTTGTATATTTCTGAATTCTGTTATATCAGAATTGGAGGCACTTCTCTGACCAGGGAAGGTTTAAGGCCTACCTTTTCTTCCTTGTTCGCGTAAATCAACGGCTCATTGGAAGTGAGTGACACGCGGTGAAGCGTGTTAACCAATTTAAGTAATTTTCTATAAGTGTGTGTTCGGGCGGGTAATACCCGTTACACGAGACCGACGCTTCTCTGTCTTTCGAAATGGGTAGCGTGTGCCACTCACTTTACTGGATACTTTCCAAGAATGCTGAAGTTTAAGCTCCGTACACCCAAGATCTTGTTCATGTTCAAACCGAGGCTCAACCTTTCAATCGTTTTTACGCATTTTTTTAAGAGACAAAACATTTATGCATAAAAACTGCCAATTCACTGTTTGCCGACTGGCCAAGGTGGCTGACACATGTGAATGAAATTTTGAGTGCGCTGCTTACGTGCGCACGCTTTGTGTTACAAATCGTACAAGTGCCCATTTGTACTGATAGGGTCATCAGTGTATAATGCTTACTGCCCCCTACGTCATTCCTCTACTTAGATTGCCAGAAGAATATCTAGTATTTCACACGTAAGTAAGTATTTGAGGTCTCATCATAGAATTTTAATCCAAAACCCGTAAGTCTAGCAAATCTGATCCTGTAATATGGCAAGTCCTGAAACAATAAACGTCATTGTTAATGCTCTCCCAAATGCGTCAAAGAAAAAAGGCTGGAGCCCAAGGACTTCTTGCCTTTCAAGAAGTCCTTGGGGTCCAGCCTTTTTTACGAACATGTGATGCATAAGCATCACATGCTTATGCATCACATGTTCGTCTGATCCGTACGCTTAATGTATCACCTCATTGATGAGCAATTTCAACATCGTGACACGTGACAATCCATAGCTTTGGAAACACGAAAGCACACTTACCACAACGTTCAGCCGACCAGACTTGTACTATACCTTAATCGGTGCTTGGCGAAGAAGTATAATTAATATGTTTCTGCGGGGGTGGTATGACGATGTCCCAATGCGAGCCAACGCAACATCTGTAAAGATCAAATAGGGCGTCAAGCTTGGTCGCAACACCTGGAAGAACATTTTCCTAAGTATGTAACTTCATGTTATTGACTAAATAGCTCTTTGAACTCACTTTGAGCGAGATTCAAACACAACGCGCCCAAATCCGATGTCATCCTCTTTAAATGAAGAAAAGTCTATAGTAAACGCTTATTCATCAGAGTCGATGTAGAGTTACCTATTCAAATACCCCTTTATTCGCTCTTAATAGTTGGATGAACTAAGAAGATTACGTATTCTTTTCACCAGCCAATTTACTATAGTCGGAAGGTGGACGCACTTGACATTGTTCAAACAAGAAAGTGGTTGATATTTGTAATATGACATATGCATTTAACTCTCTTGATATTAAAGGATTTGCTACACTGAACCTCGTTTGACAAAGCAAAAAAGATATTGAGAGGAACAGCACGAATGTTGGCCGCCCATTCTGCCCCCCCCATCGGGACGCTTAAAATACTCTGACGCAATCTTATAATTTGTCGTGTGACCAATTTAATAGCGAAACGTCCTTTCCCTACAAACAATGGTCTTTAATGTAGATATCGCTAACAACATACCACTAACACAACTATTTATATGATTTCATATACGACCTTTTCAAGCTGGGCGCATTAAATGCACCTCGGTTCTACCCTCTTTGAGATCTCATATAAAATTTTTATAAGAAGGCCGGATTTTGCGTAAAAGGTACAATCATTTCAAGCACAATCATTGGTATCGATCAGCAAAAATCCCAGTCATACGTAAGGTGGTCTTCATAACACTCTTAAACGCTTCTCAAAAGAGTCTTAATTTGTGCTGTAGCGATAGCCGGTAACAAAAATTATAAATAATAGTTCGTTTGGTAGCACAAAGTCTTTGAGTCTTAAATGTTCTTTCTGCAAGGTTTCCGTTTCTAATTTTTCATCGCATTTAGTTCTTTTGCCGTTAATCATACGAGAGAGACATTAGCAGATTGTCGTATGGAATATAGAAATGCTCCTTTATCTTTCTATATGGTAAAGTTACGATAAGTGTGCTCTTGGCTTTAGTAGCCTCAAAAGAAATAGCACACGTCATGGCAAAGGTTACCAACACCAGATGCTGAATGTTAAGGACTTTCATCAAAGAATATATGACTCTGGGGAAATTGTTGAGGAAAGTCTTGTCATTCGTCACACCTATCCCCGGAGAGCACTACAGAGAAAGACGACTTTTGCTAAGAGGTTATTATATTAAGATCAAAGACCAACATAACTTCTTTTCAAAACGTGAAGTTGGACTAAGCTGCTCTAAACGAGCTACTAAAAAATTACTAGGGATCAGTCTTTCGATAAATGTCGTATATTGCTCTGGAAATAATCCAGCCATAGATGATGCGAGACATTGCAGCACCTATTCCAGCTTGACATGTGCGACTCAGCTGTTCTAAACCCAGCTCCAAAATATTGCTCGATGGATATCTATCTAAAGTAGGGGCTTTGGAAGAAAAAATAGGTGTTTGAGTGCGATTTTTCAGTATATGTCGTCGTATAAGTCGGACTTTTGAAGTACTCGAGCTAAAGATGATTCGAGACATTGCAATACCTATTTCAGCTTACTGCGTGCAGTCTCGTCACTTCTCTTACGCAGCACTGAATCCTTTCAAGATTCTATTTCCGTGCGTTGCGCGTCAAAAAACGATTGTATTGAAAGCTCAGTTTAACGCTCGATGAGGCCTGAATGACTACGTCATCTGATTGTCGAATGTTGCTCGTACATATATCTGCCGCTCCATATCTTCTAGCGAATCACACTTGAAGCACTCAATGTTGTGAGTAAGATTTACATTAATTGAACTGAGTAGAACCCATGACTAAGTCGAGGGCGCTAAAATCACTCCCAAGTTCTCTGTTTTGTAGTCATCTCCACCTTGGGAATCGGTAGTTGCGCTTGAATGGTGTCGGCATTTCACTAATTCAGAATTCGCAATATTCGCCATTAGTTCGATCCAATCTCGCACAGAAAACTGACGCCAAACGAGGAGTTATACTTATTGTCACCAAACACGCATCGTGTCTTGCAAGTCAATAGCTGCTGTATGGTACCGTTCTCTTCGTAAGACTAATTGGCTAGAATTGTACGTGACAAAAAGTAATCGTAGCTCATCATTCAAATTTATTAGTACTGGCTCGATGATACCATCGTCTTGTATTTCGAAACTTTTCTTCAAAAGAACTGTCAAAATTATGGGCAGGAATGAACGTTTTATAAACCACATTACTTTCCCAGTGTGGAGGTTTGATGTTTTACGAGTTTGGTTTGTCAATTGCTATTGCTACCTCAGATGTTACATAAATGACTCCATAGGAATGCCAAAACACGGTCCTAATACTTGTTTTTTAATAAGGCCGTCTACGAAGGAGTTTGTCCTACAGACTGCGCTTAAAGCAGCTTCGGCAGCTTGGACGATTCCTGGAGAACACAACTAATGAGCTACTTAGTCACAATAAGAAGGTACATAGATGTACCTTACAGCAGATACATAGATGTATCTGCTGTATGCATTGTGGAAATTTATAAAAAGAGGATTACAGTATTGTTTCCCAAATGCATACTCGGGTACCAAGTCAATTTTTATGACGCACTCCCCGATCCAGCGGTAATACATGCGGTGAGATATATATGATGTCGCAAACATTCTGTGTATTACAGAATGCTGATTCCTACTTGGAAATTTGTACTAGTGACGAGTCCGACGTATCTCTGTCTTTTGAAGTAAGCCAGGCACTTCTATCGGATACTTTTCACGAAAGTTGAAGTTTAAGCTTCTCAAAGTTAAGGTTCCGTACACAATGCACACAAGATCTAGTATAAGTTCATGCTGAGGTTCAACCTCAGTACATTCTCGATTTTATGAATCAGGAACTCAAGGTATAATGAGTAGAACCGCTAGAAGCCCTTAAGGTGTTTTTTATGTAGCTAGGAAATATTAACTCATTTTTACTCAGCGGCACATCTACCTTAACGTCTCAAGTCGTTTCTATCCCCTTCACGACTGGACTGTCCTATCCTTCCCGCGTTAACCCGCATCCTCGCCGCACAAGTGTGTGTGTTGTGTATGAAGGACTGTTGTGAACAGCCTTCTTACAGGTAGTTACCATATAAAAGCTGTCCTGATACAATCCTTTGTCTAAGAACGACTTGGCCGTATCTTCACAGATGATGATGTCACTAACATTAGTAAAATAAATTGTTTTGCTTAAACAACAGTTTACAGAGACTACAATAATCGTCTTACCGGGAGCGTTCTCATGGAAGTATGACTAAAATCTTCACCAAAGTACTGTCAATACCCTGCAGGATACTATCGACCAGTTGAGGACAGAAAAGCATGCAGCAATATCTCCAAACGAGCGGATTCATTAGCATCTGGCACAAAAGTAATGTCGATCAAATCGCGCAGTCAGTGATTCTTAGTCATCCCATCTATTACCACCCATGTAGAATGAACACTCTCGTAAGAATCACCCGTTCTTCTCGATACATTTTACTGGAGTGCAATCATTCAATCTGCCGACCCGTATTCGCAGTAGGCCACCAGTGAGATGGCCTACATTCATTGTAGCCATGTCTCTGAGCTTACGTAAGGTCGTATTTGTGTACGCCCCTGGGGTCTATATGTAATAAGGGAGTTGTCGACAAAAACGTATAATGATGAGCAGGTACATAAAGAGAGTTCAAACCCCAGATATACCTCCATTTCGAGCAAGTCAAGAGCCCAATTTTACCCCAAAATTGTTGAACAGGAAGACCGACGGTGGCCACGAAAAGGATAATTCAAGTATGCAAAAATGTGAAACTCTGTTAAATGGTGTTGTCCACGTGTCCAACGGACCTCCCACTTTTAAGATACGATTACTTCTATCCGTACAATGAATGTCGGTGATTTCTTGTTATGATAATGTGCAAGGTCCTTCTGAACTTCGGTCCATTTCTGAAACACGGTCGGTGTGCACATAGCAAATCATAAGCTTTGGTGCATAAACTCCACAATCACGAGGCGCAGAAGTTGGGATCAAATATTTTATGCGAGGACAGAAATTAGGATTTCTAAAATGGGTTTATTGCAAAAGGTAATACAAGTAGGAAATATTCGCGAGATGTGATACAATTGTTTTTTAAACACTAATAATACGAGAATACGACTCCTGGTAAAATTACCGAGTGTAGCATTCTTGGTTCACCGATACATTAATGGCGTGTGTCATGGAGATGGCCTCGTACCAAGAAAATCTCGGGACACTAGAGATCCCAGAGGATGATTTGCTTACAGCTGACCTTAGTATCTCCCCAGCAACGTATGTTCGACAAGCAGGTCGTCCAAGGAAACGACGTATCAGATCCCATGGTGAGGTTGGCGGAAAGGCGAGGAAGCCATACAAGTGCACCATCTGTGGGGTGCTCGGCCACAACAGAGCAACATGCCGATTAACAGCATAGGTCAAATTGTCGATCAGCATATATTTATCTCGAACATAGACTGGTGGGGTATACTAAGGTCAGCTGTAAGTAAACCGTCCTCAGGGATCTGTAGTGTTCCGAGATTTTCTTGGTCCGAGGCCGTCTCCATGGCACACGCCCTCAATGTAACGGTGAACCAAGAATGGCTACACTCGGTAATTTTACCAGCTCTCGTATATTTAGTGTTTAAAACATAGAATCTGCTGTTGGCCTTCCCCGTATTTTTCATAGCAATGGTGTTTAAAACACAATTGTATCACATCTGGCGAATATTTTCTATTTGTATCACCTTTTGCAATAAACCCTTTTTAAAATAGCTAATTATTTTGGCTTTCAAAAGTGGTGTATCATGGATCAATTTATTTATTTAAACTAGTAATAACATACACATCTCAGTGTATCTAGCAATATGTAATATTGCTTAACGTGAATTTTACAGCACGTGTACTAGAGACCTCTTCTTTTGCTTTCACATCATCTCCAAAAAACATTGGTATCCCTAACTCTTAACAACAGTTTTTTTCTACAAAACTGTATTGTGAAGTTTGTACAATTGTAACAAATTGTAATTGGCACAATTAAATAAGTGTACGTCAAGACAGAACAGTACGTACACTTCTTCGTCAGGATAAGCTTCCACGCTGTTGTTTGCATTTCTTTCGTTAATATTAAGACATTGCTCAAACGTGAGCGCTCAAATAGCACCCATACCGTATTGTGTTTATCCCTGCTCCTTGCACCGAACATCTTTGCTATGACTGTCCTCTCCCATACACACCAACACCATCTGAATGAGCAAACGAGGTCCTTGCAACCGAGTGTCTCAAAGTTATACACGATGAGGTGGCTGAGGTGTCTTTCGACGAGAGCGGTTGGAATGCCTCAGGATCCTGCGTCATTACACCTGTCCTCATGGAGAAAGTTACGGCCGAAAGGCTCACGGCGGCTGAGGTATTCTCCACGCCCCATGTGTAGACTGTACAAGCCAGTTACCCCGTGTCCGTTCCCAAAGTCAGAAACCCAGCACAAAAATTTGATGACGTCCAACTCGTCACAAATGCAATGGACCTGGATCGATAGACCAGACTCAATTATCTCGCGGATAAGATTTTATCAATTTTCGGGTGTAATTCACCTTGCAGTTGCAGAGCCAATCTTATTAAGAGTATCGCCTCGGCAAAGAGCAACAATGCTTGCCCGCCATGGAAACCCTACGTTTGGTAATATATGCTGGTGGAGTCGAGGAGTATCGCCCTCAATTCGCGCAGGTGATGAAAGCACGTCGACTCTTCCATCACATGGCTATACAAATCGCTTCTTTTAGGAAAAATCCAAACACAGCGATGTTCAATGCATGAATTTGCAAGGTACAGAGCACTTCGTGCATATCGATATGTAATACTAGTGACCTCATACTGCCTCCCTTCACCACCGTGAGATCGCTTATTCTGCTACTGACTAAGTCTCGAAATCACTAAAAGATCAGTCTCCATTACCAGTACGACGCGAGCTGCATCGGGCAACCCTGCTTTTTCTCCTGGAAAATAGATGCTGAGAGCATACAGGACATAAGTAGGGACAGCGCCAGCGTGATCGTGTCGAGGTGGAGCTTAAAATCTCATGTGATTTTCACATTAAATTATCCCTCCTTCTTACCAAATTGATAATAGTACCGATGTACCCACTTTCAACTATCCCCTCAGCGTGTAAGTGGGGAATTCCTGACTGATTATGTAGCGCGGTCGGCTAACGGCTGGCTCTTGAAAACTCCGTTGGCTTTTGCGTCAGGTCGACTACTTTCAGAAGTCTTAGCGTTCGTCAGACACAAAAGTTGATAAGATTTTGTGTGCGATCTCTGATCTACTATATCGTACTGCGCAGGTTAGAGCACCCTCAACAGCTCAGAACCACATCGCAGCTTTACATCAGAAAGTAGATCAGTACAGAGACGCTGTCTGTCCCCAACAGAGCCGTCCACATCTGACCGGCTGCTACAACGCGGTATCAGCAACTCAAGTCCACCGACGGCCCCTTTACTACCAACATCGGAGTCTCTTCAAATTGGTGTCAAAACACACGATTCATAAATATATAAAAATCGGATGCAGAGGCCAACAATACGTTGTTCAACGCAATTCTGGGAACAACGTGTTGAAGCACTGCTGTTATTGTTGCTACTGCTTCAAAGATAATTAATGTATTCCTGTAGATTATCTGTCTTCGGATAGCCAGCGGATAAAATACCCGAGCTATCAGCAACACTCATCGCCTCCGTTCAGTCGATGCGACGCGAAAGCGTACCCTCCGCATCACTGAGCCATCTCGGCTCAAAACTTATTTCAGCGATTTTTGGTAAGGAAGGATAGCCATTCGACGCTTTCTGTGAGATCTGTGCTCATAATAATGGTGCTCTACGCTCGATGATGCTGTGCGCATGATGATGCTGTGCGCAGGACAGCGTGATATAAATCGATCCCACAAGTTGAGGGTCAAGATGCTAATGAAAAAAAAATTCAAAAATCATTTGTTGTGAGCAAAGAACCATTCTCTGCTGCTTTAAGGTGATAAGATTGATCGCAATTACGCGTTCTTGTCCATCGGCATCTTTCCGGAGTAAACCTCAGCCGATGGTAAAGGCTGAAGCGTCATATGCGACATGAAATACCGATTTGAATTCGAAAAAGTCAGAATGTGGGCTTACACAAGGCTTTAATTTCTATTTCATAGCTTGACATACCGCCTTTTCCGCCGCGTTCCAGCACTATTCGACATTTTCAAAGGATTGCTGAATGGCAATATCATGTCCGTAACTAAACTTGTGCAAAATGTTGCCAGGTCAAGCCACTTCATCGCACCTCTTTGGGACAGAAGGCTACAATTCGTCTTCTATCATCGCAGATGATACAGTTTTTCCACGACTAGGTCACTGAAGAGACTAGGGATGCTGCCGTGCAACGGTGGTGCCAAATATCTCTTTCAAAGAGCACTCGATTGCTCCCTCCAATGTTTAGGGGTATACCCGAAAAATAGGACTTGCTAGGGTAATACACCAAACCCTTAATGAACGTGTCTGATTTCGTCATGCCATCATTCGGATCCTGCAAGATACACGGTCGGAAGTATCGTGTCTATTGAGCATAAGCGTGAACCTTACTCCAGCTCGAGAAATTGAGATCGTACTCTGAACTCTGACTTGGGCGGCTGACACGTTAGTGTGAGACAGTTGAATTTCACGTTAGCTGGAATACAGTTAAAATTCTTCAGCTTGAGCAAGCTTCTGCGCATCCAGCCAAGCTGGACTCAGAGAAAATTACTTGTTCCGTGTGTGATGCGCCGTGCGACAATGATATCGTCCAACCCGATGAGCCAGCGTATCGCGCTATCACCCTCGACCACTGGACGCGCTGTTCATTTATTCACAATTTCTCGTGCATTATTTGGTCGCGCAGAGCGGCAAGTTCTTGTTAGGTAATGTCCGCCATGTTCGTGAAGACTTAACGCGTTGTGCCTTTGGCGGCCACGTAATGTTGCTTGAACCGAGCAGCGGCTCCATGTTGCTCGTTGTGGGAAACAAATGCAACATCGCGCTGACTACGTTCTCGACGGGCTCTTGGACTTTCGTATCAGGACCATCACTGTAAATCACTCAAGTGAGGGTATCCTCATTCACGACATAATGCTTAGGTGGGGGTGCTTACGGTCGCTGGATTGATGACAAGCTATTACTAGGTGTAACCGAACCAGTTAGTTCTATTCCTCTCTTACATGAGTTCGCCTGGAAAGCGCTCAATAATAGTGTGTTGCTAGTAGCCTGTAACACGGAATTTTTTCGTTCTTGCAACTAAATGAAGGTCACACGATTCTTCGTGCGGCCAACCTTTTGTGAGGAGAAAGGGTATCCCTCACGCTCCTCCCAAAATGTATATCGGTGCGTATACAGAGGGTTATATGATACTAATATAAGGGAATAATAATACTGCTGAAGTAGGCAAATACTTAAGGATTACAACTAGCTCGGTTGTCCGAACGAGCCACGTAGTCTTGTGTACCAGGCGGTCCAGTCACAGGTCGCCTCGTATAGGAATAGTGCAAGCAAAGTTTGGACCTTTTTACACCGACTTTCGTAGACTGACCGCTCTGCCACGGGGTGCTGATACTCCAACATAGTGTTCTGAGCTTCGCTTAATTTTCGATAGTTGTGAAGTTTTTTTATTCCCACAATTGCAACAGACATTTGGTGTGGACCACACCCAAACTAAACAGTGGTTGGGGTCATTACAATAAGATGAACACAGCAAGTAAAGATGTCGTCTGTGGCACAGACCAGCTTCAGAAAGGCGGACAAACACAGATTGAAAAAAAACAATTTGCCTGCACACGCAACAGCGCGGAAGAAGGTTTTGCAGGTAGTTTGGCTTCTCTTGCTACTCTTACCACGAGCGGAAGTCTTGAGACCGTGGATGCAGACCATTTCTTTGTGATGACAAGACACGATGTATTAGAGAAACCATTGCCACTGACTGCACCAGTGCAATCTGCTGGTGTTTTGACCATCAACGAATGTGTCCAGGCTGCAGAGACTGCGGATGCTCTTAGCAAGCGCATGCATGGAAAAAATCTCGAATACTCCGCCTCACGGGAGACGTACCCACACAAGCGTGCTGCTTTAGGAAGACGTGAAAGTAATATGCCGAGCTGTACTAACCAAAAATTTGCTGCAACTACTACCAAAAGCTCGGATATTACTGATATGAATGACAAAGAAGTTCTTCATAACGATGCACAATATGCCAGTAATTTTGACCATGAGAATTTTTGGCGCAACTTAGCCGAAGACCAGCAAGTAGACGTATTTGATGCTAATACCAAAGCGTGGCTTGCAGCCAAAATTGTTGATCTGGATGATGAAGGCTACACTGTTCATTACATGGGATGGAGCTCAAAGTGTGATGAAAAAATCCAAAAAAGTAGTTGCCATCGCATTCAACCCCGTGCACTAAAAGCCTCTCAGGCCTGGGTGAAACATCAATTGAAGATTGACAAACATCGGCGTGGATTCGAAAAGAGGCATAAAGCTGTAGTATTCGTTGGTGATAAATCTCAGCGCCCAGGGATAAATGAACCAGTATTGATGCCAATGTTTGTGCAGAGTGGACTCACTCGATCTGGACGCTCAATTACTAAACGTATTGAAAACGGAGCTTTGAAAATGAAAGTGATTTCGAAGAAAAAAAGAGAATCAGCATATAACGAGTCTAAATGTCCTGAAGAAGATTTATGTGGCATTTGTGGTGAAATTGAAGATAACGATCTGACCGACATGATACTGTGCGATGGTGGTTGCCTCAAATCATATCATTTTTCGTGTTTGGGTATCGACTCAGCACCCGAAAGGGAGCGGTGGTTATGCGAACAATGTCGTACGAATGAGCAGTTATGTTTCGCTTGTGGGCGCAATGGTACAATCAACGAAAAAGGTGGCGTGTTTCGCTGTAGTGTGGCATCGTGCGGTAAATTTTATCACCAAGTCTGTATCGATGCCAACAAAATGTCACGTCGGGCTGGAGGTAAGTTCAAACCAAGCTCTATGGTGTTAGAGGTGTTCGAATGGGACGCATTTTTTCGATGTCCTAGGCATGTCTGTATTGTGTGCGAAGAAAGGAGAAAGAGCTCTGATTTAATGTGCTGCTTAAAGTGTCCAGAAGCTTATCATCCACAATGTGTACCTCCAAGTGCCCGATACAACACTGTTGGTTTGCTCTGTTGGAGGCACCCTGATGAGGAGCTGCCGAAGATCCCATCGTTTTATTTGTCCGATCGTAATGTTGATACAGTTACGGTGGATTCCTGCTTACACCTTCCGTGGATGTTCTTGCCGAAACGTGACCCGGACGCCAGCAATCCCGACGATTGCCATCACTTCCGCCTTTCCAAAAGTATTATTGAAGATGTTCGTCTTCAACCGCCAACGTATCGCAAGCTAGGTCGTAACATTTATACATTTAAGCAGCCTAAGGTCTCTCTAGAGGATGCACCTATGTGTATCTGCAAGGAAAAATGCGGAGATGATTGCATCAACAGGCTGAGTTTCACTGAGTGCTTCGGTCCAGCACCGATTCTGGGAATGAAATTTAACAAGCACTCAAGAGAATCGAATTGTATGCTCGGCGAAAATTGTGGAAATCGCGCGCTTCATCAGAAGGTTTACCCTCGCTTTGAAAAGTTTCACACGGTCGATAAGGGTTGGGCTCTTCGCATACTGGAGCCGATTAAAGCAGGGCAATTAGTGATTGAGTACGTTGGCGAAGTGATAAACGAAGAAGAAAAGGAGCGCCGACTACTCACTCACGCAAAGGATAGTCCGGAGGATAAAAACATGTACATTATGGATCTGGGCAAAGGTGAATACATTGACGCGCGTTTCAAAGGGAGTGTCTCTAGGTTTATTAACCACTCGTGTGAGCCTAATTGTCACTTGCTGAAGTGGCGTGTAAAAGGGGTTAATCGAATTGCAATCACAGCTTTAAAGGACATTGAGCCGGGTACCGAGTTGTCATACGATTACCAGTTCCACACAAAACAGGCGATGGAGTGGAAATGTCATTGTAAGTCAAAAACTTGTCGTGGGACCATGGCACCAGAAAAAATTAATCAGACAAGTGATTCGCCTGTAAAGAGGCTTACGAAAAAGGAGCGGACCAAGCAGCGTAAGCGTGCCCTTTTGCAGGGAAAAATACAACAAGATAAGGAAATAAAAAGCACAGCTAAAAGACTCTCCTTGACGGCACATGTCAGCATGGGTGATCTGAGTACCAATGATAACATGGCTGTTCGTACGGGTCCTGCAGTTCGTGAGCTGAAGTGGGCTCAGATAAACCATCTCTTCATCATGCGTAATGCCAAGGTCGGGGCTAATTTTAAATCACGTAAGGAAATCCGAGATTTGCGATACCTGATGCGTTAACCTGTCCTATTCAACAACCTCCGCATCATGTTGTTTTTCGAGCTTAAAGTTTTTAAAGGAACAACACTAAATTTATCGGCAATAGTCAGCTGGTGTTAACAGAGCAACCAGTCAAGATCGAGCAAAAATTGAGAATCGACATGAGGCTGTTCAGAAGCTTGTTGAATTAGAAATATCGAAGCTAAAGGCAAAGACAGTGAAGAAAGGTTAAGTACGTTTTTTCCCCGAGTGGAAGCATAGTTCGACAGACTTGAAATTTCGCCGAAGCGCTCTATTGGTAATGGAAATCAATTCAACGTTGCTTCTTCTCGGAAATAAATCGGTCATGGCAGCACGAACATCAAATAAAGCGGCGAATATTTACTTTTTCAGAAGAATTGTCTTTTAGTATAAAAAATCACGCGAAGTTGAGTGCTTAGAGCTTAAGCCAAGATGGTTTCTTGACAGCTTTGGCTTGTACATTCAAAGGCGACCGTTGAGTCGGCTCAACTTGTGATTTTGAGTTTGAGGATTGGTCTGCGGTTGATGCATACAATGTCAGAAAAGACGAAAGATAACTTTCTTTAAGGAAGTACCATATTGTAGAGGCTGCGGAAATGCCTCTATTTGCAACAAAGTGACGTTGTCTTTAGTCTCGGCTTGCTCATCCACCCACTGTAACACGATTTCATGGTCTTTTATAGTATTGAATTGACAGAGAAATTAATGGCACATACCAGGTCATTGCGTAGATAAAAACCAATGCTTGCCGTCTCAGCTTGAGGCACTTCCAGCCACGACAGATAAATCAAAGCAGCAGGTACAAGGTTTAACTCAGTCAGGGTTTTAGAGTTATTCAGTTTCTGAGTTGGGGGCGAAACATAGAGATAGAACTTGCTCGCACTATACTGCTCTGCTAAGCATTCAGTCACATGTTCCATAACATCTTTGATTGTTTCACTCGGTTGAAAGGATGCCTGCAATACAGCTTTCAATTGATTTTAGCTCATTAGTAAGGTTGCTATTTTATGCTGCACGTATTGTGCAGTTTACTCACCACCATCAGAAAATTGAACTCGGATCAAAGCACTTTGAAAAACTTTTTTGCGCCTCAGTTCCTCAAGTTGCCGCATCGCTTTAGTACGAAAGTTCTATACATCATTCCTTGCAAAGTAAGTCACAGCTCAAGACAAAAATTTAGAAGTCAGGAACCTTCTTCGTTTCCATCTCCTTCCGTCGAGCTTTGAAACTCAGCATTAACAAATTCGCGTCATTTTGCTCAGCATGCTCGTCTTCTATCGAAGCAGTCGAAGGGTCACGCAAATTACAAGCTCGTCTTCCTTTGACTGTAATAATCGTGTTTCGCAGAGGCTTTTCGTTTCCGACAAGTCGATGTTGCGTATTCTTTAAGGATTCGACTAAAAACTCGGTTGTACTTGGTCCTCGAGGTTGCATCTAAATGCAAAAGCGCTAAGCTTTGCCCTAAAATGATGTGTAAAAAGACACTCATACCTGCACGCGAGTTATATGTGCCTTAAATATGTCAAAATCCGAGTCATCTTTTCGTTCGCGGACAGCTGGACGAGCTTCGAGCGAGATGTTTAAATCATCTGCTTCGATATTTAGTAGGCGGAGACCTTCCTCGAGCAAGCGTTTGTCAATAGAGCTAGGAAGAACAAGCATTTGAGTCTCTGGAATATTCGTAAATCCAATAGACTTAAGAAACTCAAGTCCCCCTTTGACTTGTCCCACTGAGCGATTAAATACCGAATTTGACAGCGAAATTGACCGCACTTTATCGTTTTCTAAGGTACAAAAGTTCAGCAAATGCACGGAATGAATATGTTTTAATCATTATTACTTCGTGCATACCTGGATCTGACAATACGTTCGTGATCACTTTCATCAGTGTAGTGATAGCGATGCGCGACACTGCATCAAAGCTGCTGTTACGCAACAGCTGCAGTGCATCGCGGCTACTACCGAGAGAAGCCATAACGCTTGAGTCACCGATATCAATAGATTCCTGTGACTCAGTATGTGGTGCCACGTATCGGCTCAGCGGCTCGTGTTGAAAAGCAGTAGATATGGACGGGGCCATCGATGACATTCTTTTAGAAGAATCGAGAGACTGCTTTGGTATTTCTTTTGCAACCGAAAAGCCTTGGCTTCTTGGTGACGCGGGACTAGAATGTTCATCAGCAGCCAGAATGCGGAACATAGCTGAACCTCTGATTATACCCAAATCTGTAGCAGGCAAAAATGCTGAGATGTAAGTACACAGTAGGATAAAAAACCTTATCAGCTCATATCGCCATAAAGCATTGCACCATTCAAAGTAGTCGTCGCCAAAGCGTGGGGCTCAATTTTGCGCCGAAGAAACCCAAGAGGAAACTGTTTGTCATACACAATCAGCCACCACCGAGTCTGTACGTATAATATTCCCGATGTAATGGACCTGTTTCAAGGCTGGCAACAGCTTTAAATAAGTTAAGATGTGCTCCATAGTTGAGTTGCTTCCAAAAGTTGCCTGGACTCGCTTGCCGTCGCATAACTGAACGCACACTCGCACTTCCTCGAACTTGTCCATTCCTTCGGGCTCTTTGATCTCCAATGAGGCATTATTTGAAATACCCGTAAGGCCAAAGGGGATTGACAGGTCTATGGGACTACCGCGATGCAGCAACTGGTATTGACGCGAGTCGCTGAGGCCGAATTGATCGCGTGCTTCTGCTAATACTTGAAACTATAATTGATCGAATCATATCATAGCGCAGTAAGGGGGACAGAAAATTTTATTCGTACCATCGGCGTGTCAGACTGGACCCTTACGCGCTTAGACCGAAGGCTGAAAGTCACGTTCAGCGCCATTCTCTTTTCTTAACCTCTGCCTCTAAATTACAATTGCAGAATATAAGCTAAATTGCAAACCCTAAAACTGAAAAAACTACTTTCAGCGTGCAAGATTTTTTTATAACATATTGATAATTCCATGTCTCCAGTTTTTGCTAGTTTGTAGTTCCGCGAGCAAATTTGTATTTTATCACTTGTTTTTATGTAGCAAACACAGCAACCAATGCTGCAATAATCAATCGTATCTAATTCACATACTGCAGCCGATATGCTGTAACTCATCAGCTCTTTCGAAGCTCCAGCTTAACTTTGACATTTCGCCATCAAATTTTGCTGCCAACCTAATCGAATTTCACCAAAAAGCAGGTTATTGAGCAAAAAGTGCTTGAGTAGCGGCCAAGTCGCTGCTCTGTCCAGCGCAGTTCGCAATAATGTTTTGCATCGCTTGTTAAGTGGTAGCATCCTTCAAAAATCGAAAACAGTAGCAAATTTCTAAGAGAAAAGATGAAAAGGCATTTCTATGGTGTGCCACCAACTAAAGTGGCATCAAATACTTAATTACGAACAAAAAAAGAGGCATCTTGTGTCTGTCATGTGCAGCCCTGCAAACCAATCATCAACATTCCAAAAAGATTTCTAATGGTGCGTACTTACCTTATCGGTGGGAATTGGAAGTGTAACGGCACGGTACAATCCGTCAAAGAGCTATGTGCAATGCTAAACAAGGTCGAGATCACATCGAATACGGTGGAAGTGGTTGTGTCGCCCACCGCTCTGCATCTGGATCTGGCCAAGTCGTTGCTTCAGGAAAAAATTGCCGTTGCGGCGCAGAATGTAAGTCTTACGGGTACTGGAGCCTATACGGGTGAAATTGCAGCTGAACAGCTCGTAGATTTTGGGTTGAAATGGATAATTACGGGTCATTCAGAGCGGCGCGCTTACTATGGCGAGACAGATGAGATTGTTGCCAAGAAGACAAAACGCGCTGTGGACTTAGGCCTCAAGGTCATATTCTGCATCGGCGAATCACTTAAGGAGCGGGAGGCCGGCAAGACGATTGACGTACTTATCCGTCAAATAGAGGCTCTAGCGAACATGATGGATCACGTTGACTGGGCCCAAATCGTGATCGCTTACGAGCCCGTGTGGGCAATCGGCACGGGCGTCGTGGCCACTCCTGCCCAAGCTCAGCAGGCTCACAATAATTTACGCGCCTGGATCTCCAGCAACATATCCCCTGCTGTGGCCGAGAACATTCGCATAATCTACGGCGGCTCTGTTAACGGTGACAATTGCGTTGAACTCATCGCGCTTGCGGATGTTGATGGATTTCTCGTCGGAGGCGCTGCGCTCAAACCCGAGTTCGAAACGATCATCAAAAGTGCTTTTTAAATTCTTGAACTTCACAATTTCTCCATTCTGCACCATTAAGCTCGTAAAACAGCTATCAGAGTGTGCACCAAAATTAACCATTGTGTCAAGAGATTATGGTCGTGTGATTTGATAAGTACTACATTCGATAACTTATATCCGGGCAATTCATAACCTCGTATACTAATAACAGTATGTCCACCAAGCTTATTTGTATATAGCCAAGTACTAACTCATATTTGGTAAAATAGTTGCCAATAATGAGTTACCCGAGTATATATTATGCTTTGCCTACCTTTGGGTCTTTCTGTCACATTGACATAATTACTGCATTAATTAACATTTTTTACAAGCATAAATCTTGCTGATGTAGAAGACAATGAAGTGCCAAGCACTAATTTCAAATCAGCCACGAACTGATGGCAGTCTGGACTGTCGCTGTAACGGGGCTACACGTACCCTGGTCACAGGGGTGTGTGTCACACTAGATGGGCATGGTGTGACTGTACTCATATAAGAATACGTGCGCTGGGTAGCCAGTAGTTATGCATGGATTTAGATTTTACTATATATATTTAGGAAAATCTATACATTTA